AGCAGCAGCACCAGCCCCAGCCCCAGCCCCAGCCCCAGCCCCAGCCCCAGCATCAGCACCACCAGCAGCATAATGATGACAATTTCACCGTCATCGTGTTTTGGAGCAATGGACTTGGTTCATGCGAACGAATTCTGCTAGCAATGATGGTACCAGTAATCGTAGTGACTGCTGCAGGGGACCAGGGAATCAAGCTCTGTATGCCTTGCCAGAAAATGACAACCAAGCCAGGCTCGCTTCGGAGGTTGAGTGAACCTCGGTAACCCCGAAGTTCCCGTTCTCTCGGACATGGCTCCTTCGGAGCAGCGTGCCTTGTCGGGATGACATTGCAGCGCCAGCTTGTGGAATCGCTTCTTCCTAGGTTTCGGGATTTCAATCGCCTGCAAAGAACACCTGCGGCCATGCGAAACCCACATGCGCTCAAAATGTGAAGCCTTCCAAGATCATGCCCAAGCTCACATCTGAGGAATCGCAGTCGCAGCGCAGTCCCAATATGGCATAAAAGTTCCTCAAGCTCCGTAACGGTTGAGCTATGTGACAGTGATGTAGGCTTACAGACAGCTCCTGCAGCGGCAGCATTCTACACAGTACACATTCTTGCTGACAAGTCTCCGTGAGTCCTTGCGATGCACGGCCTCACGGGCGCGGCGAAGCCATGCAGCCAAATCCTGCAGTCGATTTAAAGATTCAGTTGGATTGCATCTTTCAGGATGCCTGATTTGCAAGCTCTGTTAAAAGGCTGTTGGCTGTGATTCGGTCCTGCGAAATTTGCTGCGCCCTCGTTGCCAGATCTTGTGCCTTCTCGAAATCCTCCAGACTCTCACGCCACTTCCCCGAGTCGAAGCGAAGGATTCCGCGCAACAACCTCGGCTGCGGTGCGCCGTCAGCTCAGCTCGGCGCAAAACCCAGTGGCAGGTTTCAGTTATGAGAAGAGTGCAGCTGAAGAGCAGTGCTGGGGCAGACTTCTCTCTGTCCATGAAGGAGCACGCTTCGGAGACTTCTGTCAAGGCTTCTTCGAGCTCGCCCTCCAGCCTCAATGCCTCGGCCGTCCTCACGGCTTGCTCGCATCTTTTCTCACAGACATATAGTACCCTAAATAGTAGGCTCCTTATTATAAGGCCCCCATACCCTAGTTTTCTGAAACTCCCAAATTGCGAGGCTGGGTGCTTGAGGTGCAGCTGGGCGCGGAGATCCACGTCCCAGGAGCCGCCCAGGCGTGCGGCCGCGTAGCGCTCGCGCGCCTCCGTCGCCTCCCCTCGCTTCAGGAGCCGGTCCTGGGGCTCTGCTCGGACGGGGCTCTCAAAATTATAAACATTATTATTGTTATTGTTATCGTTCTTGTTACTATTAGTATTATTATCATTATTGATACTATTATTAGTATTATTTTTATTACTCCTACTATTATTAATTATATTATTACTATGATTACTATTATTATCAATGTCATTATTTCATTCTGGTGCTCTTCCCCGCCCTTCAACAGCAAGTCCAAGGCCAAGCATTGCTGCGTCGGCCCTGCCACTTGGAAGCTGAGCGTCGCCCTGGGCCTTCAGCTCCGATGCAGCATCGACCCTTAGATACAAAGGGGTTTAGGGTTTAGGGGTTTAGGGGTTCAGGGGTTTAGGGGTTTTCGACGTTTAGGGGTTCAGGGGTTTAGGGGTTTAGGGTTTAGGGTCTAGGGTTTAGGGTTGTGTGTTCGGACCGGCTCTCAGCCTTCTCTGTCAGGCAGTTTCAGACTTGCAAACATCCTGAGGAGGTATTTTCACAGCAGTTCACTCCTTATCATCAGACGCCCATCGCAGAGAGTCATGTTGCAGCGCCCTACCCATAGGCCCCGAAGTAGTTCCTTTTTGGGATTACCTTGTAGGATTCCAAATATGAGCCACAAAACGGAACAGGATTCTAAATATGAGCCACAAAACGGAACTTCTCAGGGGGCCTATGGGTAAACCCTAAACCCTTCTTTTCTTACTGTCAAGCTGCGCTCGCAGCAAGGCGGCGGCACGCAGCGCAGGGCCGGCATCGAAGTCCACCGGCTGCAGCAAGGCTCCCAAACCCAGCGAGCTGCCGTCGATCCTGGGTCGAAGGGCTCTTCTCTTGGAGGTTCATGGGCAGTCATAAGTGGGGTTATAAGTCCTGATAACATGTCGTGCATACACCGGCTGTTTGGGTCGCACTGTCGGTGCAAATCATTTCAGGCCGTGAGCTGAACCAGCTGTGGCTTACACCCGACAACGAAGTCTATGTCCTGTGTCGCGGCAAGACTGCGGTGCATCTGTCCAAAAGCACACGGACATCTTAGCAGCACTAAGAAATCACCGTCTTTGCCAATAATGGCTTCACTGTAGCTTGCAGAAAACAATGCATCTGCACAGCTTTTTTTCATCCCACGCGCACGTAGTACTGGCCAGCGAAGGGATGGTAGCCTGCAGTGGCCGGTGGCCTGTGCTGCACATTGCCTGAGAACGTCGACATCGTTTGTGTTGGCCTTGCCATGCCAACCCGCGATTGCTGCACAGTGCATGGTTCGCGGCATCTTGTGGCTGTCGGTAGTGTGAACATCGCCTGCGCACTACTGGAGACAGCAGAAGTCGTCTGAATATAGGTTGGCCGTATGGTGGAAAGCAACGACGGCTGCATTGGTGGCTTCTGGCTTGACGGCGACGGCATGTAGCTTGCGTGCATGTGCTGTGCATTGCTTGAGATCGCAGGGACTGCTTGGGTCTTGGTTGGGCTGACTGTGCCATGCAACGATTGTTGTTTGATGACGGGCTGGCGGCTTGCGACTTGCACCATGTAGGTCGCCTGCCTGTGCTGTGCATAATTTGTTGAAGTCTGGGTTGGGCTTGCTGTGCTAAGCAACGATTGGTGCTTGAATGCTGGATTGAAGCCTGTAACTTGCGGCATGCAGCTCGCCTGCCGGTTCTGCAGAATCTGGGTTGGGTTGGATGTGCCAAGCGATTGCTGCAGGGGGACTGGCTTGTAGCTTGAGCTGGGTGGCGTGTGGCTTTGGTGTGGCCTTGCTGGCACGTAGCTTGCAGGCTGATTTTGTCTGGTTTTGCCAATCCACGATTGCTGGCGGCTGCCTCCGGCCTGGGTGGGGAGACGGATGTCCACATCGGCAACGGGATCTACACCACTCATCAGGGAGTTGAGGAATGGCGAGTGTTCCAACAAATCTGGTCCTTTGCGCATGGACTCCAGAAACGCATCGCAAGGCGCGCAGCCAGTGAAGATTTGGGAGGAGCCCATGTCCCGCGTCCATGCATCCTTGTCGAATGCTTGGCACTTCTTCTCCTCGGGTGTCTGTTTTCCATGACGCAGGCTCTCCAGGAGGGTTGGGCGCGACACTTTGGATGGTGAAACGGGCTCTGGAAATCCTTCGGGAGGAGTGTCGCTGCGCTCGGAGCGCTTGCACCTGTACGGTAATGTCCAGCTAACTGGAGACACGGGCTCCGGAAATCCCTTTGGAGGAGTATTGCTCCGCCGGGAGCGCTTGCAAACGGATGGTGTTGTACAGTCCAACGTTTTCGGGCCCGCAGAATTCACCTGGGGGATGTGGACTTGCACCGCCAATGAGCCGCTGGATTCGAAGCCACGAAACAGCGGCCAGTTTGACGAGGACTCGATGTTTCGATCTGCCAGTGGCAAGGTTGCCTGGCCGATCAAACAGTCCTCTACCTCTGAGTCTTCGGGATCCACTTCGTGGATCTCCACCATCAGGAGCTGTTGCTTCCGATTGTAAGGTACTAAAACGGTCTTCTGCAGCATGCAATTGTCAAGGTCAGGACGTGCGGGATTCGCCTTCCCGACCGCGAATTCGGTCTTTCTCGCATTTATCTCTGCGTTACCCTCACCTGGGTAATACGCTGTGGCACAATAGAAGTGCGGCCCGAAGTTGTCAGACGGCAGTAGATCCAGTGCGCCATCGATCTTGACCATCATCAAGTCTTCTGGAGGGGATCCTTCCCTCACACCTCGGGCTCCAGTCACCATCGTCTCCTTCTCTGTATCCTCCGGGAAGACGATGCCGAGAGGATTCTCGTGGCTCGGCTTCCGTGGCGTCGGTGTGTACCACTGAACCTTCGGTGCTGGGTACAGCATCGGTGAGTCCAGCAACGGCATGAAGAAAAGCTCGGAGAGTCCACCTCAAAACAGATTGATCTGCCGAGCACTACTCTGTGTCCGTCCAGGCAAGACCTTTCGATTAGCCGAAATGACTGTTCATTGTGGGCATCATGCCGGCACGAAGCACTTGCAGCAAGACATCAAACGCGCACATCACTGTCGGCATGGATACTCCCAGGTAGAATGACGAAGGACGGGTTCTCCTAGTCAGATTACAAACAGTTGAGCCTTTTCTCCTAATATAGGTTTGAACTGGCGAGTCTCAGGAGAAAGCCGCGCGCTTCCTCGAGTTTCTTCTCTCGACAGTCTGCGCAGAGCCTTCGGAGCTCAAAGGGCGTCAACTCCACCCACTCTTGCCTCAGATCTGATTCGATTCTGTCTGCACTGCTGCACTGCATTCATCTCCTCCCTCAACTTACTCACTTTCTCAACAGGCCCTGCTGCCCCTTGGCATCTGTCTCGCGCTTTGGCAGGACCATAACTTTGTGGCCCTTGCCCAGCAAGCACCAACTAGGGGCCTTTTCGTCGCAGCGCTTTTTCACCAGTACATTCTTGAACACGACCTCGAACCACTCCATCGCAGGGCCTGGACGGCGACAATGGCAAAGGAACGAGGGCTTGACGCCGCTACCGAATGCAACCCGAAAGCCCGCAAATCAGCAGCATAGCCGCGGCCCCGCTCACCCCCTCTCTCATATCAAATCATAGCGAAGATCGAATCGCTCCTGCAAAAACACACCGGGAACTCGGTCCCACACTGTGAGGAATATGCCGCAAATTAGTACGATGTCGATTTGTTTAAGCAGGTCGCACGAAATAGCCTGTATCTAACATGCGGTTGCTCCCGGCCTTGACCAGCAATGCTGCCTGCCTCTCTGGCCTTGCAAGTAGATGTGGATATGGCTAGTCGCACCCGGGATTTTGTACCCAGAACCTCCTGGACCAATGACTCCAGCACTTCCTTTCCCTCCGCTTGACGGCAGAGGAGCCCCGCAGCACCGTGCAGCAGCAGGTCCTTGCATCAAACGGCTCATCATGCGAATACTCAAGCTACTGGGCACTATATTGCACGATGTCATACTACATCTGTACTATACTCTACTATACCATGGTTGAACAGTACTGTACGGTGCTATACGAGGTTGTACTATACTACTGCATTGTACTGCTCTACACACACACAGATATATATATATATGCTCTCGGGTCCCCTCCCCCCCCCACCCCCCTATGGCCCCCATCCCCGCAGTTCCACTAGCCCGTCCTCCTCGCAGACCTGCGGTCTGCTGCTGCGGATTGGGGGTGCGGCAGTTCCCCTCCCCACCCCCTATGGCCCTATGGTCTGCG